CCTCCTCCTCCTCCTCCCCCTCCTCGTCCTCCCCCTCCTCCTGCCCGCCCCCTCTCATCCATCGGGGGGGGGTAGCTGGGAACGGGGGGGCGACGAGGGGACTGTGGCGTGCGGCCGGCTTGGGCCCCCGCCGCCGGGCACCCACCTCGACGGAGGGGGAGGGGGGACAGGACGGCCCAGGAGGAGGCTGAGGAGGAGGAGGAGGAGGAGGAACAAAAAGGAGGAGGAGGAGGAGAAGGAGGAGGAGGAGGAGGGAGGAGGGAGGAGGGAGGAGGGAGATAGGGAGATAGGGGGATAGGGAAAGGGAGAGGAAGAGGGAGAAGGGGTAGGAGAAGATCGAGTTGGCGAGGCCGAGCGAGTCAGAGGACCCCGCCTACTCCCACCTTCCCTCCCACAGCATAATACTCAATTGTGGTGCAGCTTGAGATTGGGGTTGAAACGCGCTCCCGCCTCGCAAACGGAAGGCGCTCGCGCGCGGTTCCGCCTCCGACGATTTCGCGAAGAGAAAGCTACGCGGGCCGCGCAGCGGCGGGAGCGGCAAAACTTCTGATGATGGCGGCGAGGGCGAAGCATGCGCCGCGGTGACACAGCATTGCCGCTTTGAGTCACAAATTGCGCGGCGCTTTGGCGAGGTCGGTATTTCGCTCGCTCTCGCGCGCGGCCCTGTTGCCGCTGTCGCTTTCATGTGATTCGGCAAGCGAACCATGCGCCGCGCCCGCGTTGGAACGCCATTTCCGAGCGAAATGCGCACGGAGCTCAGGCGACGGCGAGTGACAGGTATTCGCCGCGTCGAGGCGGGAGCGCCACTGTCAGGCGAAAATTGCGCGGCGCCGAGGCCAGAGCTACATTTTCGTCCGCTCGCGCGCCGGCGCAGTTGCGTGCGAAGGTTTTGCGCCGCGCTCGAGCGGGAGTTCAATGCTCTACAGGATACGCGGCGCCGAGGCGAGAGCGACGGTCGGGTCTTTCGCGCAGGATATGCCCCCCCGTCCCGCTCTGGCCAAACATTTGCAACATGGACGACAGAATGTGCATGCCAAGAGGCAGCAGTCGCCTGGTTCTGTGGCAGTGCAGGAGTACAGACCAAGAAGGAATAAGGATCGAGGAGGAGTGAGGAGCAGGAGCAGGAGGAACAGGAGGAGGAGGAGGAGGAGGAGGTTTGAACTCGTTCGAAACGAACTCCAAGGCCGACAGCGACAGCGACAGCAGGAGGAAGCGGAACCAGAGGGAAGCCCCCGAGATTCGGCACGAACGGAATGGGTACGGGAAGGATATGTACGATGCCCAACAGCAGTTCTTGTTCATTTTGAACAGGACTCGTTGTCCGCGCCGCCGCGGCCTGTGTCCCTTTGAGACCGAAGGCAGCTTGCCCAACAGCGGCCGCTGTTGATTTGGGACAGCATTTGTTATTGGGCATTGTACCCATTCTTTCCGTACCCATTTCGGGCGTCCAAAGAGATGGAGGTACGAAGCGAGGGGAGGGGGGGGCGGCCTTGCCGGGAGCCCCCTTGCAGGGTCCTGCCCGCGGCCTTCGCTGCGCTCGCGCTCGCCGGCACCTTCTGGCTGCCCGGCTGCTTCGTGCCAGCGGTGGACCGGCGGGCCGTCATTGCCGCCGCCGCGGCAGCCGCTGTTGCTGGGCAGCAGCAGGATCGGGGGCGCTGCTGAAGGTGCCCTTGGCCCAAGGTGCCCCCATCTTTTTGCTCCACTCTTGAGCCCCCGGGCGCCCCAGGCCTCGTGAGGGAGCCCCCGGGGCCTCGTGAGGAGTGCTCCTTGGAAATCCTGGGGACACTTTGGGGCAGGGGCACTTCTGGCAGCACCCGACAGGAGGCGCAGGCCGCGCAGGCGAGGTTCTCCGTGTTCGGGTTTGACGGACGTCGGGGAAAGAGAGAGAGAGAGAGAGCGCTCCTCCAGCCCCACCTGTCGAGGCATCCCGACTCCCAAATTGGGTCCGAGCAGGCGGGGTCGGAGGATCGCGCCGCATCGCCGATGCATCGCCGATGCGGCTCGATGCGGAGCCCGATTTTCTGCACGCCGACGTCGCCGGTACATCGGCCATGCTGCGCGATCCTCCGACCCCATTTGCTCTTGACCCCATCTGGGAGGCCTCTAACCTGGCCTCCCTCCCCCCTCTTGGGCTGGGCCAAAGAGCTTCGGCTCCCGATTGCGAGGGTGACTCGTCGAAGAGGCACAATAAATATAGCCCACACACACCTGAATAACCAACCCATCTAGGAGGGGGACCAGGTGGGAGTGGAGGTGCTCTTCTGCTCCCCTAGGAAGCGGGAAGGGCGCCGTGTCAGACGCTTACCAGCAGATCGACCCTGATGCGATCTCGCCCTATTCGCAGTTCAGCAACCCCAAGGACTCCGACTACACCAACGACAAGGCCTTGCAGGACAAGATCTACGCGAGGAACAAGGACAAGGTGATCGAGTACGTGGCGATGCTCGACAAGGTCCCAGATCTGATTAAGAAGAAGCAGTCCGAGAATCTGAAGAGTCTGCTGACCACCAAGCTCTACAGCCTCCGCGAAAGCATGGAGTACGTGACCACCAAGGGCACGCCGTTCTACCGCCAGGATAACGCAGCAGGCATGAAGGAGGCCGACATCTTCTTCCAGGATCTGGCCGATCTCGGCGTGGCCGGCAGGTCACCAGCCTCAAAGACGCCCTTTCCTCCAAGAGATCGGATGCCGCAAACGTTTTCTTGGGACAGAAATGCCTATCGCTAAATAATTCGGAGGTCGGGAGTGGGAAAGTACACACCGCCACCAAGTCTCCACGGGCCCGCTTTGTGCCAGGTCTCGGTGTGACTCGACTCCTGGCCATGCCAGGATGTTATGAGCACAAAGATCTGACCCAAATGGTCAGATCAAAACGCCATAAACATATTTTTTTGGCGCTCCGCGCGTATATCTTGGATCCGCGCTGGGGCCCCTTGGCGGCGCCTCCTGCGCCGCCCCTGGCGCGCTCCGCGCGCCAAGGAGGGGGTCCAGCGCAGATCCAAAAAATCCGCACGGAGCGCCAACTGTTTATGTTTATGCCCTTCTTTACTCTTCTAAATGGGCCTGTGGAGGTTCGGCGGTGGTGTATACTTCCTTCACACACACAAGCAGCCGCGCCCTGACGGCGCATTGGCTAGATCTGGCTGAAATCACATGCGAGCTTGCATGCACGAGGGCGAGAAAGATCTGCGCCCGCTAAAACAGCGCCGTTTTTCGGGGGTCTGCCGTTGTACCCTTTGTTCCAGCGTAGAGTGCGAGGGACAGCCGCGCGGTGCGTCGGGGGGCGGGGCGAAGGGGGAGGTAGGAGAAGGGAGGGAAACGAGAGGGAGACCAATCAAGGGCCATACCAGAACATATACATCAGCATGTTTAGAGTTATCGGTTGGCCGCTCCGGCCTGCTCCTCGCGGCACGTCTCCACGTCTGAGCATTTCCCCCTCCCCCTCCCCCCGCGCGGCCGCCTTCGTCTTCTTCCTGCACGCCAGACAATTCGTCTTTCGGATGCCCCGAATAGCCACACGTTGGAGCGGGCTGCGTCTGTCTCGCTGCCGACGGAAAAGTTTAGAGTGAACTTCGCTAACAGGGGAAAGGCGGGACGAAACACGAAAGGGTCTCCTGAGCACGCCTGGTGAGACGCCGGGCCAAGGAGGGGCTTCGAACCCCTCCCCCCACTTCAAAAGTCCAGTGGGGGGCGGGCCCAGAAATCGGACGGATCCCAATCGACTTGTCCCAATTCCAACCGTTCAGAGTGGATTGCAACCAGAAGAGAGAACAGCCCACCCCCATACCGACCAGGCTGATTTAAATATTTGTCCTTGAACGCTTGCGGAATTAATCGGCACGCCCCCACGGCGACGATGTCAAATCGCGACATTCCCGGTCTCACGAATCGTTTTGTAAAGCCGTCTTCGTTTCTATTGAACAGTTTTTGCGTGCTTTATAAACGCGCTTCTGCGTTTATAAGCTTGCGCCGTTGCACGTGCGCGATGGCGCGATTTGAGCCATGTTCCATGCAATTTCGCGCGCACGGCAGTCTTTTACTCAAAAAAAGTTGCGGGTGTTTATCAAACACTTGTTGATTTTATGAGAATGTTTTTCCCCGGCCCTCGGCGGTCGCATCTTTCGCAAGTTGCCAGAAACCTCTCTTGGGGCACATGCAGCTGACGACGGTCGCCGGGCCACAGGCTCTAGATATAATTTGTGAAACATGTAAAACTTGATGTGATTGGTGTGTGGGGGCGGCTTGGGTCGCCTTGCCCCAATCCCAATCGCTTCAGGCATCTCACGACATCTTGCGAGATCTCACGAGATCTCACAAGCATTTAGGAGATCTTGCGGTATCTCACGACTTCATGAGATCTTTATATATCTCAGGAGCTCTTTCGGGATCTCAAGATATCTAACATACCCCAAGAGATCTTAAGCGGTCTTAAGAAATCTTTAAAACAAACAGGTTCATATATATGTATATGAAAATATAGTGTACGATATACCGAAAGATCTTAAAGTATCTATTGAGGTTTTACGAGATCTCAACA